CCGCCACCTGCAGGCCTCATTTAAATTCACAAAGGGGTCATCTTCACTCTGGGTGGAAGGAGGAGGGACACAAAAACAATCAGTGGCATCACCGTGAACCACTAGGAGGATGGAGGTTACTTTCTTTCTGCCTATGTAGCTGGTGGGGAGGAGGGGAGGTCGTGATTCCTTTGGGAGTGGGACTGTGGGACACTCTAGTGAGAAAACACTGGGAGCGTCTCAGGGGAGTCTCAGATTTGGGTCTGGATTCTGGTACTGCCTCGGTCATCTCAGGGTCCTGGGTGTGAAGACCCCTCTGCACCAATGCAGAGAAAAGACCCGGCCCGGGTCATTGTTGGTGGCCTGGAGCACCCGCCCCCTGTCCAGGGAGACGGCATAGTTGAAACCATTCACTAACTATGTGACCATCTTGTGGGTGCAGCTCTGCAAACACAGTGCCCGGGAGAAAGACCAGGAGGGATCAGGGGCCTGCCTGGACCTCACCAGGGGGAACCCGCACCACAGATCAGGCTCAGAGGGGCACCTGCATAGACCTCCAGCCAGGGCTGGAATGTGATGACACCTGGTGGGCTTGGGATTCACATAGGGATAAAGGAGCTCGGTCCCCAGCACTCAACTTCCTACCCTGCCAGGCAAGATGTGGGGTATGAAGATGACCCATTGCCAGACTTCCAACATCTCACTACCTGCTCCTACCCGGGATGTGTCCCCCCTCATCCCCACCTTTCCTAAGTGCACCTCCCAAACACACACACACACCTTGAGCATCAAGGGTTGTGGGGCTGACCAGGTGGGAGCACAGTTGTGACCTGACCTGGAGCGGCCTGCCCTGGGTTGCCCTGTGTTGCCTGAGGGTTCCTCCTGCCAAAAGGCCAGAGGTGTTAAAGGTGAGAGTTGAGTCAATGTCTACAGCGGGTAAAAAGGCTCTCGTCAGATTTCTAGAAGCCAGAGCTTCGGAAAGTTGGGGCACAACATGAGAACATCCTGCTCTCTTGAGTGTCTCCATTCAAGTGAGCTGGATGTGAGGCTGTGTCTAGAATGTGGGTGCCTGGTAAGCAAAGTTCTAAGTTCTGTTGGGGTCTGTCACCAAAGAAGTGAGGTCACTTCTCAAGGTTCCGTTATCTGGGCCCCTTCCTTCAATAAGACCCACCCATAGTCCCCTCTGGGCTGTTGACTGCTCATCACCCTTGCCCATGTCATCTCCATAATTGTACACAAATATCCATCACTGCCCTCCCCACAGCACTCTGGGAACGGGA